GCCCTTGGCGGCATGTACGGCTGGCACACCTGCAATGCGCGCAGGCTCAATGTTGCCTTATGTTGCGACCCCTAAGTAGCACTGGTAATCTAGCATTTCCTTGTCTGCCAGAAACTCCACACAAGTCAGACATGCGATCTCACGGAAGCCTGGCGATGTAAAGCCACAAGGCCTCGCTGAAGCAAAATGCATGGACTCCTGCAAATTGATATCCCGCCTGCACTGCCAGGTCAAGGCCACTAACGCCCAAGCCTTGTGCAAGCCACCGCAATGCTTCATGAACAGTGCTCGTACAGCCGCTTGCCTAAGAAAATTAGGTCGGTGCTGCAGGCCGTCTGACGACACGACATGAGTTGCGGCACCCGTCGCTCATCAGTCCAGCAAAGGCACAAAGAGTACACAAATGCTTAACGTGAGGCGTCTTGACGGCCCGCACTTGCTTGTGCTATCGCTTGCAGATACGCTCAGTTCGACGTGAACAAGCGGTGACGCCTTTATCTAAGTTGTGTCGCTAGAGCCAGTGCTTTGAGAGCAAGAGAGTTGGCAGAAAACACGCTAGATCGGCTACCGATCAGTTCGGCTGCATCTGGTGCGTTTTACACGTTCAGGTACGGGCTAAAAGCTGCTCTGATGCGCTGCTGGAGACCACCGCGATGCGCACCGAGGGAAAGTTTGATCGACTTAAATTTCCGGTCTGAGGCCGACTCTTCAACAACACTGCTTGAAAAATCGTATGTGATTCTGATCTATCCAGGCTGAGTGGATGAGTATGAGTGGGCTTGCTGCCCAGGCCGTCACATGCACACCTGACTGCAGAGCACGCTAAGCTTCTCAGAAAATTGCCTTGGGCAGGAAGTTCGTGCACTACCACGAGGGCATTTATCCAGAGTAACAAACGCTCACGTCCTCTGGTTGGAAGGAGCAATGCTACTGAATCAAGAAAACACTTTTCCAAGCACTGACTCGCACTTTGTCTTCACCAAATCATGAAACACCACCTGCATCCCAGCACGCTCAATCCAACACGCGGCCTTGTGACTGTCAAAGCTTGCATGCGGAGCATTCAGGCTGCTCAGGACATGTAGCGTGCTGTCACATCCTGACATGCACATGTCAAACATATCGCCGATATCACGATGACGGGCACGGCATGGCACAGCGTATCCTCTCCCACAAGCTTGGTAATGCGGTCCAACCTGCATTCAACGCAGCGGCTTCTGGAAGAGGCAGAAAGTTCTGTAAAAATTGCTTACACGTTCGTTAACTTTCTCAGCCGCTCAATCTGCAAGTCCGCAGCAATGGCAATGCGGGCTTAAGGTCGGCACAGCTCATCCCTCGGCGTGGAGCAAAATTGGGCCCAAACCTGCGGTCCATGTGCTACACAAGAGCGGGTGTCACAAGTAGTTGAGCGGTGCATGGACCCGTTCGGAAACCTTCCACAAGACTAGGCAACATAGAGCGCCCCTAAACTTTCACACGGCCGCCCGGACTTTGACAACCATCGGCAGTTTTCTACACGACTTGGAGGTACACGCACGTAAGAATTCAGTGCCCGACTGCATCGGATGGGGTGGGACCAATTTCGAGGTGGCCTTGCCTCAGGCGTAAGCATCCTACCGCTCAATCTGAACACGCCACAAAGAAGGCAGTAGCTCGATACACAGAACTGTGCTGCAACACTCCTTGCCCTCAGAACAAGCAGAACAGTGAGAGCGCAGAGTTCGGAAGGCTGCGTAACCCTCTCATCACGATTCTACATGCGGAACTCCATCGATTTTCCACATCTTTGGAAGCAAAGCTGCAGGTGGCAGTGGCGGTGGCATCCATAGCAGTGGTGTCCCAGTGGTGGCAGTGGCGGGAGTGGTATGGGAATGGCGTCGGCCATTTGAGCGGGGCGTGGTGGTCGCCGCCACTACCAAAACCCTGCCTACAGGTGACCCGGCTGTTGCTTAATACAAGTGCCTGAGCAGATTGAGGGCTTCCGACTTCTACGTGGCGCCTGAGGGCTTGACATTGCAGCTCCAACTTCTCATTATGTACTCGCTCTTCCCGGCTCTTCCCACACATCAGAATTCAAGCTATGTTCGAGTCGCCCTCACGAAGGTGGTACCTTCGCTAGGGGTTAAAACGATGTTTGTGCCTGAGAGTCTTGACCCTTTAGGAAACCCTGAAATGGAAAACCAAAACACTAGAATCCCCAGGCTGTGAGCTGCCCAGGTGGCTTTTGCAGCAGTTGCAAGCAGTTTAGGCGCTGTTTCAAAAATCATGGTGTTGCTGGCAGAGCATGCCTCTGCGTGGTGCATCATCACCAGCCCCACAGCCCAAAAGATCAAACTAGCAAGTGACCGGCAAGCAGGTCAAAACAGAGTGAGTCTGTGTACATTCCATAGCTGCAGTGGCACCGACAGGCCCTTGATGAAGGCCCATTTGTTCAGGGTATGGGCGTAAAATGAAAGCCCTTGAAAGTAAAGCCCAAAAGCTTGTCATGCACTTAAGCCTGCAAAGCCTAACGCCAGGAACCCTGAACACTAAACACTTCAAACCATAGAATCCCTGAATCATAGGTAAGGACTATGGCAGCCCTGGAGCCCTGAAACTTGACACTCCTACAACCTTACGCTGCGCCCCGAAACGTCTTATACACCTGCAAGCCAGAAACTGAAGCCGTGAGATGCTGTGAGCCCTGCAGCGAAGCATGACCTTGAAAACCGTGAAGCCCCTGAAGCCCCTGCCGCGAAACCCTAGGCCCGACAAAACCCTCAAACTCTCAAAAAACTTCAACACCCTAACCCTGCACCCAGAAACCCTGAACGCAAAGGTAGGCACGCGACATCACGCGATTCTACGCACAAACATTGGCTCCTTGCGCATACGCTGGAGGATCCATGCTCTGTACCAAGCTATGAACAACGGACGGTGTACGAGAGAAAGTCACCAAGGCAGAGTTTCATACTAGAGCCCTGAGCTTCGAAACAGACCAGGGGCACTTTACATGTTCAGCGACAGCACTGTCTAAGAAATCATTGGTTTAAGAAATTGAGCCCCTAGGCGGCCGCGCATATATTTAGGTTCCAAAGTACAGGGCAAACAGAACTCAAGAAATCGAGGGTACCCTGACCTTGCGGGAGGCAACTTCTTAAGTTATGTTGTTTTGGCTCAATTTCTTACTTTTGGCCGTTGTTGAAACCTCTCAATGTTGGTTTAAAACTGGTCATTTATGTCATTAAAAAAAACAAATTCAGCAATTGAGGAGCTCGTTTTCGGAAGTTTAACAAATTGAGGGGCTCAATTTCTGAATTTGGCTTTTTTTTGAAATCTCTCCATCTTTATTCAAATTGAACAGAACTGGCCAAACCCCTTATAGAAATGATTAGAAATAGTCCAGTTCTTCTACAAATTGATGAAATGACCAGAATTCGAAAGAAAAAATCAAGAAATTTATGTGCTCGTTTTCTCAAATTTAAGAAGTTGAGGGGCTCAATTTCTTAGTTGGGCTGTTTTTGACATCTCTCAATTCTGATAAATCATACTACAACTGCTCCATTTCCTTATAAGAATTACCACAGCTGCTCCATTTCCTAATAAGAAATACCATAGCTGCTCCATTTCTTAGATTCCTTTTCACAAAATCCCGAATTAAGAAATATATACATATATATATGTATATTAAGAAGTCGAGGGTACCCTCAAAGTCAGCTAGAGTATGTTTGATAAAAAAACTGTAGGCCTCATAATTAAGAAATCGAGGGTACCCTCATCTGAGCGTAGCTGTTTCGTAAGCAGCGCTGTCACTGTTCATTGAATGATGCGGAGAGGCATGCCTGCCTCATTATGCTTGTTGAAAAACCCAGGGATCCAATCCTTTGACTGTTTACTCTGTGTCTGACGCAAGCAAAGCAAGCTGCTACAGCTTCGAATGAGCTTCTCGCGCCAGGTTCTCTATTGGCCCCCGCAGCGTTGGCCAAGCCTCCGAAGCATGCTTGCTTATTCCCGATCGCAAAGCTGGTGGAGTACCAGACTTGATCAAGTGCCTACTGCATGACCATGGCAGGTGAAACGCGAACTAGGTCCACGGTGTGTATTCCGCCGTGGTTCGAAAGCCATTCGAGGTCCAAGAGAAACGCAGACAGGAGGCTGTTCCACTTGGAAATTACCAGTATTTTCAGCCTACTCACGATTTTAGAGCATTTTGGGTGCAGAAAACGCGTTTCGTACTCTAAAATACAGTATGAACCCTGTTTTCTGGAACGTTGCGAACTACTTTAGTTTTTTAAAGATAGCATGGAAATTCCCAAGCCAACAACGTCATCGTTAGGACGGAGTGTTATGCACCGGTTATAATATGCTCTTGGAACACGAATGGAATTATGGTTTGGGCATGGATGCTCTCCTAATCGCACTCACTAGAACTCGAACGGAATTATGGTTTGGGCATGGATGCTCTCCTAATTGCACTCACTTGAAGACGAACGGTATTATGGTTTGGGCATGGGTGCACTAGTAAGCTTATGCTCGTGGAACACGAACGGAGTTATGGTTTGGGCATGAATGCTCTCCTAATCGCACTCACTAGAACCCGAACGGAATTATGGTTTGGGGCATGGATGCACCGGTTAGCGCATGCTCTTGGAACACGAACGGAAGTATGGTTTGAGCATGGATGCTCTCCTCATCGCACTCACTTGAACACGAACAGAATTATGGTTTTGGCATGGATGCACTGGTTACCGTATGCTCTGACACTGGTCTGGGCATGGATGCTCTCCTAATCGCACTAGAACACGAACGGAATGATGGCTTGTGCGGATGCACTGGATATCGTATGCTCTTGGGGAACGAACGGAATTATTGTTTGAGCATGATGCACTGCTTGCCGTATGCTCTTGGAACACGAACAAAATTCCCACTCCACCTCCCGAAAACCCCCCGCATAAACCCCATGTAGGGTTTTTACCCTGGCCGAATATGCACCGTGCACCAACTACTCAGAATCTAGTTTGTCAGGTTGTTGAACACATTTCAGAATCTATTGTGCGGTATCCTCCGTGGCTCCAGGAAACTGTATGCAGACTGGAGTCTGGCACCTCACTGAATGATCTGAATACTGAATTCCAGTTGTTGGGGGGTCCTATCGACAGTCTGACACTTGGAAAAAGTTTCACTGCCTCCTGCTTAAAGCTCGCATCTCCAAGCCGCTGAGAAAGAGCTGCCCCAGCAACGGCTGGAAGAGCAGCCGGCGCCAGCAAAGATGGCACATACCTGCAGGATCACAATTCTCATTGCTGCCCAGCACCAAGCTTGAGCCTCAAAGCACATTAGCCTCGGCAAAGAGGCCAAATAGTCGCGATATTCGCGTCTCAAGCCATGCCGCCGCGCCCCATTGCGCAGCAAGCGCCAGTAACGCAAAGAGGGTGACCTAGCTTGTGCTTGCTCCTTCAAGTCCCCATCCACCAAGGCATACGCCGTCTGAGGAGACGTCGAATACGGAGAAACCTTCCAACAATCTGGTGCAGCAAAGTCCGGGGGACCGCAAACAACTTGTATGAATCCATGTTTTTCCGATTACTTTATACCGCTGGCGAAGGAATACAGTGACTGCCACAGCAATCAACGTGTCCACACTGCGAGACTGGCTGCAATAGTGCTTAGTGTCAAGAGTGGAAGGCTGCTGGGCACTGTCAACGGGCTGCAGTAGGCACAAGGATGTCTTCAATGAAGCCTTGAGATACTTTGCAATTGTATGCATATGAGGTTGGGATGTGTTTTTCCTGTTCGAAGCTTCAGTTTGGCCATGCGCCAATGGCTTCATGGCCTGACGGCTTCTACCGCTTGCATTTCAGTTCTGGCGCTGCTCACAGGCATCACATTCATTCTAGCTGGCATGTTCACCAATTTTACGGTTGATCTTGCTGAAATTAAGTTTATCTTGCCAAAATCTCGAAGTCAGATTTCATCACCGGTTTCGGGATGGCACCCCGTAGCGAAGACAATAAATACAGGCGGACCTGGCAGACCTACTTCCGAACTCGCAGGAGCACATGCTATTCAACTCATCTATCCTGGCATTCAATAAAACACTTGCTACCAAACTTGGCAGCAACCTGCCTCAATGGGCAAGAGCCTGTACCCGCGGACGTCCTGACCTTTCTTGGCAGCCTCTTCAAGTACTTCTTCCAAAGATGCCCCGCGCAGCCTCAAGTCGCTGATTTCAGCCGCTCCCAGAACGCCTTCACTGGCTAGCAGTCGAAACCAGCTTTCTTTGTCCAGCTCTAAGCACACTCCATGCGTGCTGATGTTGCTGGATGGCCGAAGAGTCGCAAAGGCAGGCTCCAAAAAAGGAAGCCCCGGCAGGCTAAACCACAATTCCCAGCCATCAGCTACTGCTGGCAGCGTCTGAGTAGGCTCAAGCTGTCTTCGCGCCCTCGTAAACTTGTCCATGTTAGACCCATACGCAAAATTCCAGGCGCTAACAGCGAAGGCAGTTGTCCAGGATGAATGGAAAAGAAGGACTGAAACTGAAATTGCTGCAAACCCTCCGATAAGGAGGCTCGCCTGACGATGCTTGCGACGTGGCTGCATCTCGGCACATGCCATGTCAAGTTTTCACCAAGTCCATGGCTCGAAGTTGAAACCCAAAACAGCCTTTCACTGGCTAAGCTCTGGGTCATCATCCGACTTGTCTGCAGAATTTGGAACGTGCTTGCTTGCGTCAACTGCCAGCTGTTAAGCCATGCATCAGCATGCACTACAAGCGAGACGAGGCTTTGCAGTGATTTGACAGACCTAAGCAGATGATATGTTGCACTTTCTCGGTTTTTGCGGGCAGGTCTTTTGCCTTTTCCTGGGCGGCTCTGTTTCGGCCTGCAGGGCTGTGCTTCGTCGAGGTCAACATAGAACGTCAAACACGAAGGTGCTCGCAAGCCTTCAATGCGCGTGCTACTGCTTTGGCAGCTTTGTCGACTGTGACCTCCGGAGCCAGCATTGTCAGGGCCTAGCCTTAGACCTCGTTTGCATAAACTGCACGGCCGTCCTCTCGATCACGTCTCTTCCCAGCTGCGGCACGTTTCGCCTTCTACAAAAAAATGGTGCACCGAGCACCCAAAGAACTTGCAGGCTGAATATGAGCAAAATCTAGAATCTAGACACTGCAGGGTGCGGCCTCTGCTCTGGCTCTCGAAGCTATACCCGCGTCCCAGGCTGAATCGGCAATTCTTGCTGCCTCCTCAGCCTCAGCACGCATGATCGTGCTAGCTGCAATCAAGTTGCACATAACAAAAGCGCTGCAGCTGTGGCCACCGCACTGTACGCTCGGTGGCCTGCCTGAGATCACGAGGGTCCGTGCGCCGCTCACGAACAAAGTGCAAGGGCGTATCCTAACATGAGATCGATTGCGATTGCTAGCCCAAACCGAACCTAGGCTTAACCCTGGACACATTTGAACTACCACTGGTTACAGAACCAACGCAGAAGATCCAGTATAAAAATTGAAATGATAGGCATCGGACTGTCTGAAAGCAGCTCGCTTCCACAACTACTGGGGTGTGTGTCATCTGCGCCGACTGCTTGGTTGCACATGGACGCCTAAGGTCTAGTAGGAATTGGGCGGAGCATGACAGAGGAAAAGCCAGAAGCAGGACGGGCCGGGATCAACCAAAAACCTCGTTTCTTCAGCGAAAAAAATGCCTTTGTTCTCATGCCACCTCCAAGAGCCTGTTGACAAAGAGCCTTCCAGACTCTGAAAGTTTTGAACATCCACTTGCCGTCTGTGAAACGGATCCCCGGGTGCCTGTCCCAAAAATCGCTCACTGTTGGGTTACACATACCACTCAAGCTAGTGCAAATTATGCTCCATAGCGGGAAGCTACGAGCAACAGCTAGTCCGCAACGAAAGGCAATTAGACAAGATCAGCTCACCATCCGCAGCCTTTTGAAAATGAGCACTTCCGGACATTTCAAGACTTATGTGCCTGGACAGTGTAGGGTTTAGCTGTAGGGTTTGGATGTTTCACCAATTTTGGGGTTTTCGCGTTCTGCGGCAGCCTTGGAAACTTGAACACTGCAGGACTCATGTGCCTGCATAGTTTAGGGTTTAGCTGTAGCCTTTGGACGTCTAGCCACTTTTTGGTCTCCGCCTTCTGCGGCAGCTTTGAAAACTTGAGCACTTCAGGACTCATGCGCCTGCACATGTTTAGGAAGTAGATGTAAGTAGGGTTTAGATGTTGAAGCACTGTTTTGGTTTTCGCCTCCTGCGGCAGCTTTGAAAGCTTGAACACTTCAGGACTCACGTGCCTGCATAGTTTAGGGTTTAGCTGTATGGTTTGGATGTTTGGCCACTATTTTGTTTTCGCCTGAGAAGACGCTCCACAGGCGATTGTGGGGAGCACTGACTGGAGAAGCCCTGGCTAGTTGGGACGTTGTTGTAAGAGCCGGGCATTAAAGCCAACTGAAACCGCACTCGCAGAAAGCCCAGCTGCTCACGGGCCAACGACGGATCTGCGCGTTTCAGATTCTGATGAATGTTCAAATTGTTGCCTAGCACGGTTGTGATTTGGATGCTTTCTGGTTTTGACGAGCTTTGACAATAAAGAATGAATTTGAAAGAGTCCTTAGGCTTACTGGCGGCTGGTAAGGCGCAGTCGAATAACAACTGTGCGACTAGAGCTCAACAGGACTTACCAACCCCGACTCTCCATCGGCTTCGGCAAATAGAGTCTGGGACAAATGAAAAAGATTGATCTCGGCACCTCGGCAAGCATCCCGAGGCTTTCTGGGGCGCGGCATACAAATTTTAGTGTTCAGGGTTGTCATAACATGGCTACATAGTAGGCAATTGGGTGTCGTTACCGTGGTAGTCGCAAGCCCTAAATGTTTCGGCTGCGACTAAGTGGCAGATGCCTTGGGCGTCTCTCTGGGCAAGGATTCCACCGTCACGAGCTGGCTGCACGAGCCGGCTGGGAATGTTACTGATTACTGGCAATATGTTTGTGAAAGAAAATAGGTGGCAAACTATTTTTCTGGACCTCCGGCACGTAAGGTTGAGGCCGACTGGGTTCTCTCCAGCAAGAACCGTAGAATCAGTTGAGCACAGCAATTGTTTCTCTTTCCGAATTGGCTGTGCACAGGTCCGCGCGCTGGGCCAACTATGCCATCATGGTATAGTTGCAAGCGTTAGCATCATGGTCCAGCGCAGCAAGGCAGACATTGCAAGTGTCGTTCACGTCGGGCAGTCACTTGCTACCGCTACAAAAGTAGGGCTTCGCAAGTAGCAGGAGGCATGACACGCCAGCCCTCACAGAGAAAGAACTCAAATGTGCCCAGGTCAGAAATAGCTTCCTGGAAAGCGGCCAGGAATTCCCGCTCCGCACTCGTCTTGGCCTGGCGCTTGCGGGCGTGGAGGAGCACGCGCGCGTGGCGCTGTGCGTCAAGGTAGAGTAGGCGTCGGCTGCTGCCTGACCGAGGCTGGTCACACTAAGCTTATGTGAGAACTTGTTGAGGAGGTTGAGAAACCTGCGGGCACCGGGTCCACATTCCGTGTAAGTGCTATGTGTTGGGCGTCCGCTGGGTGAATGCCCGGCAAGGATGCGGTAGTGGCGGCGGGCAGTATACGAGCTGGCTCCGTGCAAGGTTTTTGGTCCTGGCATGATGTCCCGCTTGCGCAACCACTTTCCAGCAATGTCTTTCAATGCAATTTTCCCGGGGTTGAGGGATAGTTTCAGCTTCTGGCGCAGCCTCTCCCGGGACAGAAAGGACTGGCGCATCATGGCAGCAACCATTTTGCAATGCACTCGCTGTGGCCGGAAGCTTGAGGAAAAGAAGTGTTTGGGATCCTGGACCAACGCCCATGCCCATTTGCCACTCAGTTATATCCTTCACGGAAGTCCCACGCAAGTGGCCTCCGGATCGAATGATAGCCTGGGCCAGGCGTCTCCCAGAGAATCGACACAAAAGTAAGATCACAAGGAACAGTCGTTTTTGGCTGCGCTTGCCATGATGGCGTCGTGCATCCTTGTTGTTGGGTCCGTGGGTTCTCATCCCAATCTGCACACACGGGCCACATCGCCCATAGTCATGAGAGGCTTGGCCTTGACAGATGCCAGTAATTCTGGCATGGCTATGCCAAACGTCAGCTGCAGTTGTTGCCTTCGGAGATGCTTCACGACGGCGCAGTCTGCACCACAGCTATCGTGAGCATCCGCAGCACGACACACGAGCAACACATCTAGCACTGCCGGCAACAAATAGCTTGTCTCTGTTTACAACAGTCCAGTCTTGCAGGTCAGGTAACAGCTTTGCATCCATGCGCTCCAGCAGCTACCCTGCGTTCAACTACTCATCTAAAAAACTCAAGATTGAGTTTCAGTCAGGCGGGTTGCAATTGCAAAAGACAGATCGCAAGCCAATCCGGCGCTGACTCCCGGCCTGCACCGTTTGCTCCACACAGCGGCTTCGCCTGGCACTGCCAAGCTTTTCAAAACGAACTGGCGACCCATCTCAGCGCAAAAAATGACTTGCATGTGGAGTTGGGCCTGCAGATAGAACGAGGGTCCTATACTGATGTTTTTTTGGGGTTCAGGATTGCGTCTTCGTGATCGAGTTGCCTCTATGGACCTTATAATGGTTTTTAGAAGACATCATCCAGCGACATCTACACACGTCTGCGCGCCAAGGAGTCCAGGAGAGTTCTCTTTAGCGAAACACGCACAGAACGATTATACCCTGCATACGCACACGTCTGCATTGGACAAGACTGTCCGCCAGAAGATAGTACGTAACAGCAGTGTCAAAAGATCAAAAAAGGTACATGAAACGTGCTTGGCAGTGCGAGGGCCGTATCTGGCACCGAAACGCGCCTGGCAAGGCAAGGAACAGAACATGTCCAAAATTAAACCACCAAGCAGGTGCAGACTGCATGTTGCACACGAATAAGTTGGCGAGTATGCCAAGGTTCCAGAAGCACTGAGTTGCTCTGAGGCTACCATCATGCAGCTGATGCTGGGGATCAGCTTGGTGCGGACTTTACAACGTACGCCGGCCCTTATCCAGGTGAACAACAGTCGAGGTTAGGCCTCGATGTGTATGAAAGGCTTCTCGAGGCTAGCGTTCCATTCCAGGCCAGAAACCCATCGGGAAAGGGCACTTGCATCCGCAACTCTTGCATGTCATGAAGGAACAACTTGGAAAACTTGAGCACTTCAGGACTCATGTGCCTGTTTCGTTTTGGCTTTAGCTGTAGGATCTTTGGTTTCCCCGCTTCTGCGCCAGCTTTCAAAAACTTGGCTACGGCGCCCGCACACGCCCGTGTGTTTCAACACATTCCGATGTATGAGATCTGAGGTTAATGCGCACGAAATAAGGGAAAAATGCCCATTTGCACGAAAAGAATTGTAATTTCAGGGAGCAAAAAAACCGTCACGTACCCCTCTGACGTCTGAACTTGAGCATTTTGCCATGGTTTCGAGCGCATAGCTTTGCCACACGCAGTCACGAACCTGTGGCTAAAACCCTGTGCTGTCGCAGCGGAGCTTTTCACTGGCGGTTTGTTTGGGCGCGCAATTTTTGAGACCCTGTGCTGTCGCAGCTCATCGTAAACGGACGGCCTGACCATGGCGCGAAGACACCGCAAACAAGACCTTTTGTGAGGCAGAGGACCGCGGAATTACCCCCCCTCCCCCCTCCCCGCCTCCCCACCTCCCCCCACCCCTGCATCGTCTACAACAGGAAGCAGCAAAAAATGTGCAGAAACGCACGGGCCCGTAGGCCCGTCAACAAAAAATTGAACACTTCAGTACTCATATGCCTTCATGGTCTAGGGTTTAGCTGTAGGGTTTGGATGTTTCACCAATTTTGGGGTTTTCGCGTTCTGCGGCAGCCTTGGAAACTTGAACACTGCAGGACTCATGTGCCTGCATAGTTTAGGGTTGAGCTGTAGCCTTTGGACGTCTAGCCACTTTTTGGTCTCCGCCTTCTGCGGCAGCTTTGAAATCTTGAGCACTTCAGGACTCATGTTATCATCTGCCTGCACATGTTCATAGTTTAATTGGGGGTTTGGTTGTTTAGCCATTTTTTGGTTTTCGCCTCTGCAGCAGCATTGACAACTTGAAAACTTCAGGGCTCATGTGCCTGCATAGTTTAGGGCTTGGATATGTTTAGCCACTGATGGGTTTGCACCCTTTTGCAATAGCTTTGAAATTTGAAAACCTCAGGACTGATGTGCCTGCATAGTTGAAGGTTTTTTAGCTTTAGGGTTTGGATATTTAGCCACTTTTTGGTTTTTGCCTTCGGCGGCAGCTTCGAAAAATTAAAACCGTCAAGACGCATGTGCCTGCAGGGTTTAAGGTTTAGCTGCAGGGTTGGGATGGTTAGCCACTTTTTGGGTTTGGCCTTCGAAAACTTAAAACCTTCAGGACGCATGTAGCCACTTTTTGGTTTTGGCCTTCGGCGGCAGCTTCGAAAACTAAAACAAACTCAGGACGCATGTGCCTGCAGGGTTTAGGATCTAGATGTAGGGTTTGGATGGTCAGCCACTTTTTGGGTTTTGGCCTTTGGCGGCAGCTTCGAAAACTTAATAACCTCAGGACTCATGTGCCTGCAGGGTT